GGTAGGCACCAAAGCCACATTGGACCTGTAATTAAATAATTAATTAACAATAACTATTAATAACTAACCACGCCCACACACTGCTGTAATTAAACTCATTTTAGATTCCTTTGGTTTGCCCACAGGACGACCGTATCTCTTCACTTCAACAAATGTTCTATTGCACAATACTGCTAGTATCTAATGGAGAATGTACATGTACATGTACATTATGTGAATATAAATAATGTGAATTATTATTATTTTTTACTTGTGATATTAACATTCCGTTAACAAAGAAAGTAAATAAAGCATCAATGATGAACAAACCAAATGTTAATACTCTAAAAAATAAAATAAATAATGCATATATCTCCTAATAAATTCTCTTCTCTCTCTCTCTCCCCCTCCTCTTTCACCTGTCTAAGGTGTCATCAGGTACCTCCTTGTGTCTTCTCCAATCCCATATTAACGAGAGGCCAGCTCCTATTACTAATACCTCTAAACAAAAAATATTAACAATAAACAACAAAAATAATAATAGTGACAATAGCTTACCAGAATAACAAACAAACAAAAAGAAAAATTTGTAATTATGTATGCCGACACAGTTATTAATCCTATTATTATAAAAAGGAGCAATTAATAAAACTAGAGGGGCCACGCCTCCTTCATTAATTACCAGTGACAATGGTGGTCCATTCTACGAACACAGCGATTGCAGTGTCTAGAAATAGTAACAAATTGACATTACGTCATTATTACATCATTGATTACTTGCAGTGGTGGGCCCGTGGTGGACGATAAGACTCACATTTAGTACAAACGGTCCATTCAGTTAGCTGTAACTCAAACGGCTTCTCCTCCTATAAATAAAACACTCAAATTAGTATCCATTTTAAACTCCTCCATACTAATGCCAATTTGGGTTTTTAATGTTTCATGTGCATGTACATCAGGGTTTCCAACAAAGTATGCCAAGTGAGCTAAAAAGCATGAGTGTTTGGCTTTTTGAGTAAGTTTAAAAATTCATAAAAAATCCAAATTTAATCGGAATTAGCTCAAACTTGAAAAACAGCATGAGGACATGTATATGCATCAGGAAAAATTATTACAATGAAGAATTCTCTCCTAGTCATTTTTAGTGAAATTTGGCTGACGACCCTGTACTATAGTACAGGGACTTTGGCTCGATTTTGGAGCAACTTTGAAAATTCATAAAAAATCCAAATTTAATCGGAATCAGCTCAAACTTGAAAAACAAGATAAAAACATGTATATGTATCAGGAAAAATTATAAAAATAAATAATTCTCTTAGAGCCATTTTTGACAAAATACCCTGTACTATGTATATAACTGTACATTTATAAGATGCTTTGGGCTATGAGGGAAGCCCTGGTGTACATAATGTAACAGGTTTACCTTTTCCTTTTCCTTTTTCTTCCTCTTTTTCTTTTTATCTCTTTCCTGGCGCCGCATCTCCTCCTCCTTCTCCCTGTGCTCTTTAAAATCAATATTCAAATTCTTTTTAGTAACGTAACCTATGGATAAGCCATACCCAGTTAAATAGCAGACGACTCCCACCCACAAACCTACCGGGATTGGTGAATGATGCTCTTGTGTGAGCTATAAATGTCAACAAACAAAAGAAATGGAACACCCAACAAACAATCTTCCTACCCATGCTGGAAAAAAAGCTGAAAATATAATATTTAAAAATGATTTTTTTACCCTTCATCCTCTGCCCCGTGCTCCAGCACCACATACACTGTTACAGTGTCAGTGTATACTGTAATGAACAGTGAAAGGATGTAAGCAAAAACTCCTGAAGTATCATTGTATCTGAACATACCGCCATAAGAGTAGGTGTGGCTCAGTTGCTAGATGTGGGTGTGGTTTGTTGCTATGAGAATATGGGCGTGTTCTGTTACCATGGAAACCCCACGTATCAAACAACTAGTGTTAGATTAGAATGGTGAGTTGATATTTCTTTATTTTCCTCTGCTTTACTGGTTATCGTTAGGCCGTATCTACTAGTACTGTATCATTCGGTTCCTCTAATGGAAGAAACAAGCGATCACATATCAAGAAAGCCACAGATTCATCAGTAGTGAGTAACAATACATCAACTACTGTCAGCCATTTTAATGCTGCTGTGTTATTAGGATGAGACATTGTTTGGACCTCCTGCCCGTCTCTCAATGATGACTGGAAACAGATCATGGACTGATGGAGGAGAGGATCTAACTGGAAGAAATAGTAATAATAATAATAATAACAGCAACACTGTTTTATAACGACTGACTACTTCATCTGTTCATAGGAAAGACTAAGAAAGATGATGTTATTGAAGTTATTACTAAAGACCTTGTACGGAATTTAAAGTAATAAAATAATTATTATTATTTATATTTATTTTATTTTATTTATTAAAGAGTGCCATCAACACCAGATCCATCAGGAATGTCAGTAATTTTACACCAAAAAGAATACAAACGACTCAAAGTATAAACAATAAACAGAAGGAGAGAGATAGAATTATTATTATTATTATTATTATTATTATTATTATTATTATTATTATTATTATTAATTAGACGAAGGCCCAAGTGTTAACTACTGCTGATATCAAGACGAAGCAAAGTGACATCAAAATGCTGAAGGAGCAGAAAATGGAGGAATCAAATGCGAGGAAGAAACTGATGCAGCAACTTGAAGAGAAGAGAAGAAAGAATGAGAAGCCATCAGACCTGGAAGAAGTAAGAGGAGATCAAGTTTAAATATTTTATTCTCTCTCTCTCTCTCTCTCTCTCTCTTCTCATTGT